TTTTAAAACCATATTTACAAAGAAAAGTAGTAAAACGCGTGTTCCAACATTTCGATGATTGTTTCAGACCGGAAAGAGATTTTATTAACTTACAGGCTTTGTTCTCTTCATCTTGTACTTCCAAGCCTTCAGGAATTTTCATATACAGTTCCTCCTCTAGTATGCCGTATAAAAACGCTGTTTTTATATCAAATTGAACAATCTCTAAGTCCAGTTGAGCGGCAATCGCAAAAAGGATTCGGATTGACTCATATTTAGTAACAGGTGCAAAGGTGTAATTGTAATCAATTCCTTTCCTTTGCTTGTAGCCACGACTACATAACCTCGCCTTGAATCGTTTGACATTTCCGGCAGAGTCCATTTTTATCTTAAAAACCCATTTTGTGTCCAAGAGTGGAACGTTCTCAGGTCGATCAACGATCTCCCAGGTGTTGTTCTGCCGATGTGACTCAAGTTCTTCTTCAATTGCTTGTTCCCAAAACTTGGCTTCTGGACTATTTCTTGCATCTTGATAATCAATCGGTTCATATCATATCTCATTCATTCATATCTCTTCGGCCTCTTTATCTTATCTCTGTCGCGTAATCTAGAACCTAAAGTCAGAGTTTCATCAAGTTTTCTCTTACTGGCCCTTTTCTTGGTTGGAGGATCAACAGCTATTACATTGTGATCTATTTGGACACCCTCCATATCTTCATCTTCAGCATCATGACCCTCGACATTGTCATGCTCACACATTTCAATGAGTTTTTCTTTATGGGTAGAGGCAGTATCAGTTTGAATGGCTTTAGCTTCCGTTGTAATCGGTATGATTATGTCATTGCACTCCTTACTCGATTGTTCTTTAAAGGTTACATCTCGAGCCACGATGACTTTCTTTTTCTCTAAATTAAACAATCTGTAATTGCAAGAATCCTGATCATAACCAACAACAAAAACTTTATCGGCTGACGCATCGAACTCCGATCTTTTAATATTTGGAATCAAGACAAATGCTTTAGTGCCAAATGGTCGCATATGGCGTACATTTGGTTTCCTTTGATACCACATTTCATAAGGAGTAATATTCTTGTTATTTACAGACGTAGTCCTGTTTAACGCGTATATTTATAATACTTCTTGAAACAATCCAATGCCTCATTTTTATGTTTAAGAAAGTAAATATGACGAAAACCTGATCGTTTATCCTTTAATAACATGAAAAACTTTGAATTACGTAATGACTTTGACATTGGTCCGCATAGGTCAGTATATATGCATTCGCCGACATCATATTCGTGTCCTTGGTTACTCTGGTATGGAAGCCGATGTATCTTGTCATATATGCATCCTTCGCATGATATATTATCGTCTACGACGTCGTCGGCCCCTTCTATAACTTTGTTCTTCATCATATTTTTCAAAGTCCTTTGATTGACGTGTCCAAGATTCTCATGCAGCACTTGTAAGCTACTGCTTCCTATATTGGCTTCCTCGATTACAACCTTAAAATATAAACAACATATGTGATTAAAACATCTCGTGCCCTCTACGACAATTTCCCTTGTATCCTTGGTTTCGATTTTGACATCTTCATCTTCAAAAACAACTCTCATCCCATTCTTTGTGGATACATTGGTAGAAAACAGGTTCTTTTTAAAGGATGGTACATGTAAAACATTTTCCAATCTACCGTCAAGCCAATGTCCATTTACTAGACGTTTAATGAGGATGGTACCTCTACCAACTGCTTCGCATGAAGAATTGTCTCCTAGATAGATATTGCAATCGTCGATACTTGTATAGTCGACGAACCATTCGCGACGAGGCGTCATGTGTGCAGTAAGCCACATATCCTTAACATGCTATCAGTAAGCCACATATCCTTAACATCGACGGTGTTTAGTCGCTCACGTATCAACGAGGTAGCATTGGCTTCGATATTTTCGAAGTCACCCGTTATTGTAGTTATAAACGCGCCCGTGAATTTCGAACTCAACGAGTTCTGATGCGTATTAGATTTACCTCGTTTATTCTCGTGACCTTGTTGTTGATGATATGAAGAACGTCTCGGCTTTCTACATTGTCGCGCGATATGTCCTTGACCGTTACAATTGAAACACCTCACTCTCTGTTTATGTTTAAAATTCGTCGACGATTTGTTAACGGTCGAGATGAGTGCACTAACGTTATTATCCTCCATTTCAGAGATTTTCCTTTCTTCTTTTATCAACCTCTCTTCTAGACAATGGAGAGTTTGTCGAGCAGGCTCGGTACNGTTAAACGATTTAAAAAATGTTAATTTATCCGATGATAACATTTATTTTGTATTTGTACATTTAACTGTCTATAATCGATGCATACGCGGTATTTTTAGGTACTCTTTTTTATGTACTATTACACTGGCCTTGAGTTTTTGCTCTTACTTGGCTGTATGATTCTGTCGCGTAATCACTCATCAATCTGTTTGTCCAGGAGGTCTCTTTCCTTGACTGCCAATCTTCGCGGTCTCAAGCAGATAGACACTTCGTTCTTTTCCTGTGCGCTTCTGATTAAATTTTTCTTATACTTTCTATGAGTTTATCATGAATTTTAACCGTTAAATAGGGAAGGTATAGCGATAGGCCATAGCCCGAGACTGAGATTATCAGTGC